GTGACTTTTACAATTTGATTATTGTTATAGGAACTTATTAGTATATTTTTTGTTATGCATTTAGCTTTAGCTGCATGTTTTTTGCTGCATTGATTTTGTTATTTCTAGTTCCATAGTTTAGTTTTAATTCAAGTTTGATCCAAGAGATTTATTTCTCTAAGACAGATTTGCACACTAAGCTGAATTCAGAGTTAACATTAACGGTCGTAATACAGTATAGCATTAGCATTAATTGGTTAGTATAGTACTGTACTGCTAGTAAGTTGTAACATCAAAATTAATTATAAGATCTCTCTACTACTCAACCATACATATCAATTAGCATTTATCAACCAGAAACACAACTGTGCTAGAATCTATAGAATGCCAAAACCATCAAATTTATAAAAAGACTAATGGACAATAAAAAGGACACCTGACAGTTTATAAGTATAGTAAATTCAATAATAAGAATCCTGCTTCACCCAAACCCACTCCAAAAGTCATTGTCTAAACAAGGCAATTCCAGGAACTGTGCACACCTGGTCTGTATCTATAAGGTTTGTCTAGTGTGTGAAGGAAGAGAGTATAAAGAAGCCAACTTGAGAACTTGTTGCACCAGTACATACAGGAAAATGTAACTGGTAACGATTTGTCATAAAAAGATAAGATCTAATATAGTACGAAGGAGGGTTTAAAACACCACCACCTGGAGGAATGTATAAATGTGGTGAATACTTTTTGGAACTGGACGAGTTTAAAGCAGCAATTGCAGTTACTGTATCACCAATACTAGAACCAACACTAACAATAACAACGACAAGGACAAGGACATCACAAGTAATACAAACAACAACAGAGGCGGGACCAACAACAACGTCAACAATAACAAGGACAACAACACAAACAAGAATATTGACAACAACAATAGTAACGGCAACAAATGCACCAACAGTGACCATAACAATAAGAATAACAGTAACAGCAACACCAACAAGTGGGGGCATTGAGTCTGGTCGAGGCAAGTATTCCACAGGGTATATTATTGCTATTGCAATCATATCTCTAATTCTAGCAGTGCAGCTGTAATGGTGCTCGTATTATTGGCCTAACAATATAACTCAAACTAATCTAATAGTAGTAGTAGCATTAGTATAATAGAGTGTGTGCAATTAGTACACATACATACCTACACATAGTTATTGGGTGCATATTGTAATGTATGATGAACATTATTATTACACTATGTTGTAGCAAGAGTTTAGTAGTTCCTATGTGTATGTTTCCTTTGTAGTGAGAGTTTGATTTTAAAAAATAACTTAATTAAAAATTATCAGATCAGTCTGGAGGAGAGAGAATTAAGGAGATAAAGCAAAGCAGGAGGCATTGTCAATGAGTGACAATGTCAACGTTGAAGAATAATACTACCTTGAACTGAAGAACAATAAAGCACATATTACACCTCAAGTTATTGAACAATGACCATTTAGCAATTTTTTTTTAAAGTGTAGACTATGGTTTGTTACTTTGTTTCAAAAAATGGCTCCAAAATCACCCGCAATTTTTATTACATTTTCTGATGCATATTGATGTCCTTATGCTGTGTAGAATGTTTGAGCTGATTCCGACTAAATTTTAAGTTATGAGGACCAAACAAGTGTTAGAGTTACAAAATGACAGCATAATTTTGTAACTCTGTTACTACATTACTATTAGATAAATTCCTTAGATTGTATTGTTAAGAATAAGTGCAATGTACACATAGTGATGGGGTTTTGTTGATCATAAATTGTGACAGACTATGTGTTTTGTGCATCATACCTGATGATGAAATGTGTTTTGTCAATTGCTCCAATAACACCATTATAGTCCAGATAAAAATTAGAATTTGACAATTCTGCACTTCCTTTTGTTATGCAAGAGATGATAAATCTGAAGTGTCACTGCCTATATTATTGTAAAAAATAAATCACATCAGGCTTTATTATTAGTTTTACCTTTATTAAATGAGATGCAATCTATCTTTACAGGAGTCCTGACTTTTATTAATATGACAAGGAAAGAAAACAGTTTTTTCTACGCAGAAAAACTAGTTGTGAGTATCTGAAGATTTTATCCTCAGAGCTGGACAGCTTGAAATAGACTTCTTGCTAACACACAAAGTGACAAATTGACTCATATACCCTTGCCTATATGCTTACACATGGCAAGGTAATAATCACAAGTGAAACAACACTCATCACAGCTATCCTAATCAATACACCTATCTGAAGATGTACTGGCTGGTGTATTTGACTCCATATAGCTAAAACGTGACTTATAACTGAATACTTTTAATGAGAGTTTGAGGCCTAAGACCATAATGAGAGGTTGAGCATTCAAGGAGAAAAAGAGAGATGAGCTAGGAACTATTAGAATTGATAAACTGTATCTTATATACAAACATAATGAATAAGTTGCGTGGGTGTCTGCAGGTGTTAGCTAATGTTGATATGTACATTCATTGATTGATGTTGTATGAGGACTTGTAAATGTATGCAAAAGTAGTACATGATGCTGTATAGTCTAGAAATTAATAATTAAATAATTAAATCAAAAAAGCTACACTACTCTACTGTCCTAGGAGCAGTCTTAGGAATTGTCTTGTGTATTTCTTTGATTGCTTAAACGTGTATGCTGCAGTAAGACTAATATGTATAGAAGAGTTTATTAACACTGAACAATGATTGACACTGTAGTGTGATTGACTTAAGTTCTTGTTTGATTGTCACATATTAATATCAAACCAATTAACTCATTCTTTTTACACTCTCATTCACAATGTTCACAAAATTCAACTAGACACTCAAATAAGTAGCTCACTCTTGTCCAAAAATAATTTCTAGCAAACCTGGGTAGTATCTAATATAATGTCTTAAAAAACACAGCACAAACATGTTTATAGTTTTTACCTCTATTTATGTGAGACAAAATAAATTATTATGATAAAAATGATCACAAGTAAAGCGACAATCATCACAGCTACCCCAATTAATACACCAACTGTCCATGGAAGAACACAATTGCAACTATCTGAAGATGTACTGGCTGGTGTACTTGGCTCCATAACTGATACTAATAGTAATAAAATAATATCAATTATTATCATATCATGGTACATGTACATGTATAGTTATACCTGATGAAATAGGACTCATCATTATCATTGCTGAAGCTGAATACTGAATTTTTGAAGGACACACTTCAAGTGGTAAGTAAGGAATTTCTATGTGAAATTATCAAATATCAACATTAAAGACTCATTGAAACATTTCTCATTGAAACATTTCATACTGCAGTACCTGGTACACACATTTAGTATTTATTGTATATGTGTACATTATGTAGTGAGTAGATGCTGTATTTTTCAATACACCCACTATACCTATCGAGCCATTCTTAAAGGTAGACCCAATGACATTAGTAACAGTAACAGTATAATTATACACATCTCCTTCAGTGACATTAGTAAATACAAACAGCTTGTCAAGGAGACAGTCCACTGATGATTGAGTTAAGTTAGTGACAGTCAGTTCACAGGACAATGGAGCAGGCTGTTGAATAATAAACTTATCCTATAAAATATAACAATTGGCAAGTTTTTAATGCTACACAGCATAAGGACATCAATATGCATCAGACAATGTAATAAAAATTTTGGGTGATTTTGGAGCAATTTTATAGTATTTTATATTTTATATTCATACATAGCCATTTTATATTTTCAAAAATTGGCTGATTTCTTAAAATGGCCCTAACTTTAAAAAAATTTAAGTCAGAATCACCTCAAACATTCTACAAAGCATCTATATGTATTTAAAAAATTATGATTTTACTATTAACAATTCATTTGCCATGTACAGAAATGATAAATTAAGCTAATACCAAAGCACTATATTACCTTCATTATTACATTCAGTGACATGCTGTTACTAATAATAGTCTCAACTTCAAAATTATAGTCTAAAAATAGAATTGATGCTATTTATATCAGCACTGAGTAAACTGATATACTTAATAACAATAGGTACATATATCATTTAGGGCAAGGTACACTGTGTACCGCATATTCTTAAATAGAAGCCGGATGTGAATAAACGCCGGGTAGAACTATAAATACGCAAATCCAAGTGTGGATACTGCCTTAAGTTCCAGGAGTTAAGTGCAAGAGGTCACGGCTTCAATTCCCGCTCTGGGCCAAAGTTTTTTAAATTTTTTATATATTTTTTTGAGGTCCAAATACCATTGTAGGAAATAGACGCCCCGGCTTTTATTTAAGGAAATACAGTATACTGTTATGATTAAATCACTCACTGTTAAATTGATATTGAGTTGATAAGTTACCCACTGCTCTTCCATAATAATCAACACTATTAACCAATACATCAATACTGCCAATAGCTCCTCCAGTATTATACAATAGACTCATTCCACTGGTAGTAGTAACATTAGTTCCATTAATGAATACATCATATGATTGTATACAATCAGCTCC